ATTTTGCACTTAAGAAAATGTAATCTGTGGTATTTTTTATTTAAAAAAATACCACAGATTACATTTTCTATAAAATCCAGATCCCCGAACCACGCGGCCGCATTCGCGGCCGTGCGACATCTTTTCAGAACTTTTTTTTATGACATCTTATTGTCTCATTCCTACTTTGGACAAACTTGCAGGCTATCGAATGTAGCCTGCCCACAGGGCAGAGTCTGGCAAACTCCCCGTGGCGTACCCAATATGCCAAATACCAGTAACAATGATGGGTCTCATTCTCCTAAAGAGCCGTGAATATAATCTCAGGGCTAGGATGAAAGAGACGTTACTGGAGTCTGCTCGAGACAATCGACGAATAACAGGATGATGAAATGAAAAATGATGAAATCTGTGGTATTTTAAGTTACATGTTCTAGGGCTTGAGAGATAGTATAGTGGGGAAAGCACTTGTCTTGCACATTGCTGACCTCAGTTTAATGGTGGGCACCATTTATCGTCCCCTTAGCCCACCAGGAGTGTCCTGGAGTCACAGAGCCAGAAGTAATCCCTAAGAACCTCCTGGTATAACCCCCAAACCAAGATAATACTCATACTAATACTATTAATAATAAAATTATATGTTCTTTGGACTCCGCGCCAGACTGTGGGGTGGGTGAGAGCCCTCCCCACCCCAAGAGACCCAGCCCTGGCAGCTGATCACCACTGCCCAACCACCGCCATGCTCCAGGCCACTTACCAGATATTATAAGACACTTCCTACTCATTTATGCCTCTCGGAGGGCCCGGCAAGCTACCGAGAGTATCCCACCTGCACAGGCAGAGTCTGGCAAGTTCCCCGTGTCGTATTCATATGCCAAATACAGTAATGACAGTAGGTCTCATTCCCCTGACCCTTAAAGAGCCTCCAATCATTGCAAAAAGACGAGTAAGAAGAGGTTGCTAAAATCTCAGGGCTGGGAGGAATAGAGATGTTACTGGCGCCGGCTTGAGTAAATGGAAGATCAACGGGATGACAGTGATACAGTGTTCTTTGGAATTTGGCTTTGTTCTTATTTATTTATTTATTTGTTTGTTTGTTTGTTTGAGGTCATATCCGCTCGGACTTGTGACTGTTCTCAGGTTTGTGCTCAGAGGACCATGTGGTGCTGTGATCAAATGGTAAAGGTAAAAAGGTAAAGGCCCTCCCGTTGATCGTCGATTTGCTCGAGCGGGCCCAGTAACGTCTCCATTGGAGACTTTGTTGTTACTGTGTCTGGCATATCGAATACTCTCGGTAGCTTGCCGGGCTCTCCGAGAGGGGCGGAGGAATCGAACTCGGGTCGGCCATGTTGGCCACTTGTAAGGCAAACGCCCTACCCGCTGTGCTATCGCTCCAGCACAGTGATCAAATGAGGGGCTTGCAAATGCAAAACCTGTGCTCCAACACTTTGAGCTGTTTGCTTTTGAACCAAATTAAACCAAAGAACTATCTAGTTGCTAGAGAGAAATAGATAAGGATCCTTGAACTGAGATCTAGCTCTGATTGTGAAATTGACTCTTTCAAAAGGATTAAGTGGCTTCCACTCTGCTTCTTTTCCCTGGTAGAAAAAAAACCCAAGTAGCTCTTCACCCTTTTCACCAGAAACTTTCACCAGAGTATTTGCTCTTCTGCCAGCTATATGAGCCTAGTTTAGGGACTTCTGCAGTATGCATGTTAGAAAATTAAAAACTGTAACAAACTATCTATACTTCAACAAAATTAACCATAAACATATAACATGAATTTAAAATAAAAATAATTAAGATCTTTTAAAAGCACATTTTATGTTACATTTGGTTATACCGAACATCCTGCACTTGCAAATAATTCTACAAATTTACCCTCTATTTGACTTTTCTGGTTTTAGGGTAGGGGAGGGGGTAGGATTTCTTTTTCCTACAGTTTTTGGTTCATACTTGGCAATGCTAAGGGCTTACTCCTGCTATGTGCTCAGGGATCACTCTCTTAGGGGACTATACAGGATGCTGGGATCCAACCCAGACCAGCTCTGTGTAGAGCAATAAAAGAAGTAAAAAAAAAAAAAAAAGAAAGAAAAGAAAAAGTTGCTAGCCTTCTGAAGATAAATTTTATGTTTCCTAAAATATTTTTGATGCCTCTCTTTCTCCACTTCCCATTTATTGTTATTTATTTATTTATTTAGGGACCTCCCAAGTAGCATTTAGGAGGTCTAGGAGCTTCTCCTGATGTTACTCAGCCAAATGGGTCAGGTCTATGCAAGGCAAATACCCTACCCACTCTATTATTGCTCTGTCCTCTGGTCATTTATACTTTTTTTTTTTGGCTTTTTGGGTCACAATGGCAATGCACAGGGGTTACTCCTGGCTCTTCACTCAGGAATTACTCCTGGCGGTGCTCAGGGGACCATATGGGATGCTGGGAATCGAACCCAGGGTTGAAGGCAAATGCCCTACCCGCTGAGCTATCGCTCCAGCCCCTCATTTATACTTTTGATGGGCTATGTCTGGCAGTACTCAGAGGCTCCTCAGTGTTCAGGGGTCATTCCTGGTATGTCCAGGGGACAATATGTGGAATAGGGGGTCTAGTAGGGTTGGTTGTGTGCTAGTCAAGCATCTTAATGTCATACTATCTCTCTAGCCCTGATCATCTGTACTTTTCAAAATTTCCCAATATTCTACAGAATATTGAATCAGGGCTCTTCAAAACTGTCAGAATAATTATGAATAAGAAAAAAAAAGTTAAAAAAATGTTTTTGGCCACACCTGGTGATGCTCAGTGCTTACTCCTGGCTCTGCACTTAGGGATCAAACCTGGCAGGTCTGGGAGACCATATGTGGAGCTGAGGATTGAACCTGAGTCGGTTACATGCAAGGCAAGTAAGCACTCTACTTGCTGTACTTTCACGCTAGCCCTGAAGATTAAAATTTTTAAGTGAAAAATTATAACTGACAAGAGATGAAGGAGACTGAATTCGTAAATGTGTTTTCTAATTTAAGAGGAATTTGGGGGCAGCAAGGTACTCTAGGGGTTAATGTGTTTACTTTGCTTTCAGCTACCCTGGTTCAACTCTAAGCATTGTATATGGCCCACTGAGCACTGTTGGTAGTGATTCCTGAGTATAGGGCTAGGAGTAATCCTTGAACACTGCAAGGTGTGGCCCAAAAACAAATAAAAAGAGGAATCTTGGAATGGAAAAAGGAGACTAGAGGAAAACAACCGAAATCATAATAAACGGTTCATAGGAATATACTGCTATTGGTTCTTTAGTTAGGATATCTGTATCTTAGCAGTGTTAGATGTTAAGATTAATGCTAGGGGAAACTGGTAAGAGATTCTCTTTGTAACTTTTCCATAAAGCTCAATTTACTCTAAAAGAAAAAGTGTTTTTTAAAGTTCTATCTAACTTGAAGCCGAGGTTAATAATTATTTACCCATTCTTTTTATGTTGAACCAGAAACTAAAGGGCTTTGTGAAACAGCCAGCATGTGTAGATCTAAAAACCTTTTCTAAGAAACAATGAACTGCTGCATTAGAACAGATGACTCTACTTCCAGAGAAATGCCAATGAACCAACTGCATCCATAAGTCGAAGTATAACAATCATAATGCAGATAATTGCCCCCAAGGAGCAAAAATCAAGAAAGATTGCTTTGTAAAAAAAAAAAACAACAAAAAAGAATCTACAATCTTTTTTAGTTTAGAAAGGTAAGTTTCATTTTGATCTGTGGAAAGATAAAAATATCTGGATTAAATATCTGGGTTTTGGTACTCTCATTATTTGATAAAATTGGGAACGATTTATCTTTGTCAAGAGTAGCTGTCAGTTCTTTTCTTTATCTATATAGAAGATTTAGACTTGACCAGAAAGTTCAATAGTAAGTTAATGTTTCTTCTATCCCTCACTGTGGGTGGAAGGAAGCAAGGAACACAGTATTTCCATGTTTTTCAGAATGAAGTCTATCTGTATTTAGTGCAGTCACATTTTTCTTTTCATAAGTATTACAGATACTCATCTCTGGAGGAAATCAGAGTTATCCTTGAAGAAATCACTCTATCGGAGTGATTTTAAAAAAACAGCAAGTACTTAGAGAGTTGTTTCAGAAAACTCCTTCTTAAACATTTTGCACTGTTATCTTGCTCAGTGAGAGTGCTGTCTAGCCACACCAATCCAAAGACTCTGCATCGTGGGATTAACAAGCCCTCTTAGCCAGTAGTCACCAGATTACACGTCAGTTCCTAATACCTTGCAACCTCGGGGAAATAATTTGCATCCTTTGAGCATCTTTTATATATAAAATTATTACATTATGTGAAACGACTTCCAAAGCCTTTTTGGGGATGGGATGGGAGGGTGGCAAACCTGTTGGTGCTCAGGGTTTACTTCTGGCAGGGCTCAGGGAACATATAGACTGCCAGGGATTGAACCCGGGTCAGATGCATGCAAGAAAGCGTTTGCCCGCTGTTCTAGCTAGCCCTTCATCCCCTGCAATGTCTTTCTCAATTTGTCGTGAAAAACTTGGAGAAATAAACTGGAATGTTCTAGGGATTTAGGGTTTGGGGTTCTGACGGGCAGGATTGGTATTAAACACACGGTTTCCCGTTTGTGTTTCTAAAGATGGAGGATAAGTGACAGCAGGAGTGCACGAAAGGAGGAGTCGGACAGAGACCCACTGCAAAAGGACAACTCCAGGGACCTTCGCCTCCTTTGCAGAGCAAGCGGAGCGTTCCGCTGCTAGGCAACCGCTCCCCCTCCGGGAGGACGAAGGCCCCCAGTCGGAGGTGTCTAAGTCACTGCCTTTCCACAGTAGTCAAAGTGCCTCGTTCTCAAAATTAAAAGTAGCTTTTCAAAGTACTCTATTTTTATCCCCACACTACCTTTTTGTTAGCTCCATCGCTGGCTTCAGCTCGCGTTCGGTTGTTGTTTCCTTTTTTTTTTTTCTGTTTTCAGGCGCGCTGTGTGGATTTCCCCGGCGAGGCCCCCGCCGCTCCGCGTTGCCGGGCAGAGCTGGACAAGGCGCGCCCGCTCCCTGCTCGCGGAGCCCGGGACTCTCCTCCCTCCCGGGGCTGGGCTGTGCCCCTCCCGGAGCCCTCCCGGCAGCCATGGGCTCGGAGATGGAGCCGCTGTTCCTGGCCTGGAGCTATTTCAGGCGCAGGAAGTTCCAGCTGTGCGCGGATCTGTGCACGCAGATGCTGGAGAAGTCCCCTTACGACCAGGTACCGGGCGGACCCCCTACCAGTCGGCCCTGTGGATCCCGGCGACCCCCAGGCTGAGGGCCCCGAAGGCATCCCCAGGCCCTGGGAGGGATGGAATGCTCAAGGGCCAGGTGGCGGGGTTTGGTCCGCACTGGCCACCCCTCTGGAGTCTCCGAGTCCCCCTCATGATCCCGGAGTACTCTGCCACGGTTGTCCCCCTCCCCAAGCTTCAGCAGCCCCTCCAAGTGTCCCTCAAAGGAAGAGTTCCAGCTCTGGAACTCGGATAATTCACTGATACTTTTGCACATACATGTGCTGGCCTTTAAGCGCGTTGCCCCATGCGTTACTGCAACAGTGATTAAACATACAGGCCCTTTTCTTCTCTCTGTTCTGTCTATTTTGCTTTGGCACCGTCAAACAGGTGATCCTTTCTCTTCGACTGAAAACTCTTTTTTTGTTTTTCTTTTTTTTTGGGGGGGGGGGTTCATACCCAGCGATGCTCAGGGGTTCCTCCTGGCTCTGCACTCAGGAATTACTCGTGGCAAGGCTCACGGGACCATAGGGGATACCGGGGATCGAACCTGGGGTGGCCGTGTGCAAGGCAAACGCTCTACCCGCTGCACTATTGCTCCGGCCCCGCGTCTTGAAACTTTTATTCCAAGAGAGAAAGGAGCCTTTTTGTTCCTGGGGCTTGATTGCAATTTGAGGCTAGTAAGGCGAGGCGCGGTCATGAGAATCTAAGAAGGCAAAAGACACATTTATTATTAGGAGAGAGAAAGGGGGTAAGTTTAAAAAGACAAGAATGTCATTGATTAATATAGTACCCAAAGAAACTACCGCTATAGTTTTCCTCAAATCAAAAGTGATATGAAATAAAGAGGGGATTGTGCTGTGTGTGAGAAGCGCAGCCCTCGTGGGCAGGTGGTTTCTGGAAGGGACAAAAACAGAACCAGAGCTGGCCTGAGCGATAAACAATACGGCGAGTAGAGCGCTTGTGTATCTATACCAGGCACCGAGCTCTGAGCATCCTGGGGTGTGGGCCCAAAACCAAGAAAAGAAAAAACAAGGGCTATTAGGCACGGAACTGTGGCAATTAGTGCGTCTAGTAATAGTGGACTCTACCTGTTTTCGCAGCTCAGCCTCTAGTGATATTTTGAGATGTTGGAGGCTTAGGGGGGTTGGGGAACACTGAGGGGGAGGGGCATTGCATAAATGCCTGAGTGTGACTTTCCCTATAACATGTCCCAAGGATATTATTATTATTATTATTATTTTCGTTTTGGGTCACACCCGGCGGTGCACAGGGGTTACTCCTGGCTCTGCACTCAGGAATTACTCCTGGCGGTGCTCCGGGGACCATATGGGATGCTGGGAATCGAACCTGGGTTGGCCGCATGCAAGGCAAACGGCATTCCCAATGTGCTTTAGCTCCAGCCCACATGTTCCTAGGATAACCACCACCAAGATATCTGATCCTTGCCCACTATAAAAAAAAAAATCAGTGGTCAAATAAGTTTCCAAACTATTAGATTTGAGTGTGACTTTGACCTATCGACCTGCAAAGGGATGGAGGAAAACCATCCAAGACAAACGTTTTTGGCCTTCAAATCATCCTCATCTTCCTCCAAAAAATTTGGATTAATGGGAATGCCAGATTCAGCTCGGTTCCTGTTAGTTTGCTTAATAGGAACTATTATTTTTATTTTTTCAGTTGCATTTCTTGGGACAGTAGTCCCATAGATGTTGCTAAAATAATTAATAACAATCCATGATCAACATTGTTGGGGAGACTTAGCCCATTACTGATTCCTTCGCTTTTGTACAAAAAATTTTGTTATAAACCGATGATACTCCAGACATTGGTCCAGGCCCAGTAGTTTTCAAGAACTGTACATCCTGTTTGCATTTTTTTTTCCATCGAACTAGGGAAGTTTCCATTCTCTGTCCCTCAATGCCAGTCCCAAGAGCTGCACAGTGAAAAAGTTTCCTAATTAACATGCATTTGGGAAATAGATATTCCCTTCTTTGATATTTAAGTGCTTATATTTATGCTAAGTGCTCTGAGAAGTTTTGAAGAAACTAATGGCTTATGTTGGTGGAATCTAATAGTTTGGAAACTGATTTGACCACTGATTTTTTTTTTTTTTTGATTGTGGGCAAGGATCAGGTATCTTGATGGTGGTTATCCTAGGGACATGTTATAGGCAAAGTAGAAGAGTTTTTGTTAATTAAAATCTTGTAATCTTGATGACATAAAGCCCCTGTGACTTGCGGTATTGCGCTTGAGAATTTACATTTGTTTTGTGCTAAGCACTCTGATTTGGACTCTATGTTTAATTCAGAGACTTTTTATTAAGTGCATAATTTTTGCTAGAGCTGAGTTCTAAAACTTGTATGTATTTCTATGCTTAGCGAAGAAAGTACCTTTATTATTAAAAGTAATAGCTAATAATTGTTACTGTTACTGTTTGTTACTGGAGAAGCCATTGGGCTACACTAGCACCTGACAGGGATGAATGGAGATGTTACTGGTGCCTGCTCAAGCAAATTGATGAGCAACGGAATGACAAGTGAAGTGATACAAGCTAGTAATTGATTATTCTGTATCACATTTGATTTAGAGTCATCCTGTATTATCCCATTTAATCTTCAGTTAAAGAAGTTGGTACTCTTTCCCCTTTTAGGGGTGAGACACTGATGTACAGGTGAATAATTTATTAGAGTCACAAAGATGGAATCTCACTTTTCATTTTTCATTTCATCATCCTGTTAATCGTCGATTGCCTCGAGCAGGCCCCAGTAACGTCTCTTTCATCCTAGCCCTGAGATTATATTCACGGCTCTTTAGGAGAATGAGACCCATTATTGTTACTGGTATTTGGCATATTTGGTAGGCCACGGGGAGTTTGCCAGACTCTGCCCTGTGGGCAGGCTTACATTCGATAGCCTGCAAGTTTGTCCAAAGTAGGAATGAGATAATAAGATGTCATAAAAAGATGTCCTGATAAGATGTTCCGGGATCTGGATTTTATAGTCTCTGAGTCTTGGCCGCTGATGGGATTACACGGCGCCAGGGGGCCAGGTGGTGGGTGTGACCCCCGCCTACTGGAATTTGGAGGATCTGGGTGGAAGATGCTCGACTCCAATTCGAGTAGGCGTGGAGGTCTCGGCCCCGGAACCCGCGTGGCTGTGTCCCTCTGCCAGTACCTTCATGGGTGCGGAGAGTGGTCTCAGCATGGTGGTGGCTGGTCCTGGAGGTCTTCGGCTGCCGTAGCCCTGGTCGGGGCGGGGAGGAAAGCTCAACTTATTTTATCTCACTTATTTTATGATAATACTAATGTCAATACTATATATTTTTGGTGCTTCTATAACAATTTTTTCAAAATGTCATATTCCTGACCTTTCCCTATGACACTTTTTCCTTCTACCACATTTGGGTTTTGTGTTAGGTTATAATTTTTTAGATTTTAGCTAAGCAGTAAAGGAATTGGACATATTGTGTACTTCGGTGCAAACTGTCGGAAGTCCTGAAGGAAGTCCTGCCCAGTGTTAACTAAACCATACTCAGAAACTTATTTGACCATTGGTTCCATTGGGGTGAGGGAGGTGGTGTGGCTATGGACAGAGGGACAATATTTCCCTTTGCCCTGGGAAGACGTTTGAAATGGGCAGGCAAAGCAGCAATGTTTTTATTAAAGATTAGGAAGAGGCCAGAGGAGATCTTATTTTTGTTTAATTTTTTAATTGAATATCCATGAGATAGACCATTACAAAGCTATTCATTATTGGATTTTAGTCATATAATGATCCGGCACCCGTCCCTCCACCTGTGTACACTTCCCACCACCATTGTCCCCTCTTTCCCTACCATCATCCCCCAATCTCCCACCCCTCACCCCTACCCTTACCCCTAGCCTCTTTCTATGGAGGCAATTTCCTTCTTGTGCTCTCTCTCTCTCTCTCTCTCTCTCTCTCTCTCTCTCCCTCCCTCTCCTTCCCTCTCTCCGTCTCTCCCTCCCTCCCTCCTTCTCTCCCTCCCTCCCTCCTTCCCTCCCTCCCTCCCTCCCTCCCTTCCTCCCTCCCTCCCTCCTTTTCTTTTTTTGTGCATTATGGTTTGCAATTCAGGTGCTAAGAAGTCATGATGTTTGTTCAGGGCATTCAGTATTTTTTATCGGAATGGCAAAGCTGGAATAGCTTTTTAATTGGTTGGCAGCTTTGGGGTGTGGATGTGACTGCCGAGGCTTCCGGAAGTACAGGGAGGTGGGAGCAGGTAGCCCATCCCGACCCTGAGAAAGCCTGAAGATTTCAGTCACAAAACCTACATACCCAAATTTTCAGCAGGTTATATCTTGATGAGGTCCGTCCTGAGATGGTGGAGTTGGGGGGGAGGGTCTTGGGGGAGGGTATAGCATATTGATTATGGATTGTGGGAGCAAGTGGCTGCTGGGGGCTCTGCTTGGGCAAGCACCAGGCTGACCCACCCATCTGATTTACAAGTCTGTTCAGCCTTGTTCGAGTGGAGTCCGAGATTAACTGCAGCTATTGCTCTCTTTTGAGATTGATTTATGGGTCAGAGGAGGTCTTGCCATTGCTCCTTTTACCTGGAAGAATCACGATCATGATCACGAACGACCATCCTGTTGTTCGTTGATTGCCTTGAGCAGGCCCCAGTAACGTCTCCTTCGTCCTAGCCCTGAGATTTTTTTTAAAAAGTGCCATATTCAAGGCTCTTTCAGGGTTGGGAGAATGAGACCCATCATTGTTACTGGTATTTGGCATATTGGGTACACCACGGGGAGTTTGCCAGAGTCTGCCATGTGGGCAAGTTACATTCGGTAGCCTGCCAGTTTGTCCAAAGTAAGGATGAGATAATAAGATCTCGCGTGGGATCTGGGTTTTATAGTCTCTGGGTCTTGGCCATTGATGGGATTACACGGCGCCAGGGGGCCAGTTGGTGGGTGTGACCCCCGCCTACTGGAATATGGAGGATCTGGGTGGAGGATGCTCAGCCCCGATCTGAG